AGAGAGAGAGAGAGAGAGAGAGAGATTGTTTAGAGCATGTTTGTTTATGAAATGTTTTGGATTTGTTTGGATTTTTTGGTTTGGTTTGGTTAATTTTGAAAATATTGTATAGTTAGTTGTTAGTGGGTACATTAAAATAATATTTAAAATAAAATGATTAAAATTGAATTGATATAAAAGTAAAAGAGAGAAAATGTGATGTGATGGTTAGTTAAAATTATGTGAGTAGATGAATAGTGAATTAAGGTTGATGTGGTGTGTATAAATGATTGATTGATATTATTTAATTATATTGATAATATTGATGATAGTGGAGTTGAGTTAAAGTTGAGTTAAAAAAAGTGGTTGAGTTAAAATGTGGAAATTTTTTTAAAAATTCTTATAAACAAACATGCTCTAATTAGTACTGTGTTTGAAAAAGAGAATAAAAAAGGAGTTGAGAGGAGTGGGGATGATGATGCACATGGAGTGCTAGCTATGGCTTTTGTGTGTGTGTGTGTGTGTGTGTGAGAGAGAGAGAGAGAGAGAGAGAGAGAGAGAGAATGGTATTGGAAGATAAAGACATGTATTGTAATCATAGAGTTGGTTCTGGCATTCCATGTGCTTCTTCTATCCTCTCACATTACATTATTTTTAGTGTACTCAGAATAAGTAGCATTCATCATCTTTTGTGTTGACGAACAAATCTCTCTCGTCTCGACTCGACTCGAACTCACAATTTTTTCTCTCTTTCTCTATCGCAACGCGAGGAAATTAAGAAAAGATGCGCGGGAGGCCATCTACATCATGTACATCGAGTTGGTAAGTAAGAGCATCATGAAATGAACGAATTCATACATTTAATGGTTGAAATATTAATGAATGAATCATGATATATCATGTGTGGGGTCGGGTATATAGGTGTATCAGTGAGGAGTCATTGAGGAGGTACGTTGTTGGAGCTAGCGAGAAGTGCATCCAAGAGCTCCTCCTCTCGTCTTCTGACTTTGATTGGAAAGTGCTCGGCACTGATGAGAAAGGTGTGGAGATATCCAAATTCCGCTCCCCCTCGCTTCACATCTTCCGTAGCCGTAGGCAGCTAAACTCCGTTCCCCATCGTAACTTTATCACAGTCGCCAATGCAATTCATGCCGCTAAGGTAAAATTCAATATTCATTTGTGTCAAATCGGGTTTATTATTCAGTTCAGTTCGATTCAGTTCAATGGGCGCGCACGACATGATGTCGAGCTTCTTTTGTTGTAGGAATGGGATCCCGATTTAGTCGAAGCTAAGTGTATCAAACACCTCGACCACAACTTGAGCATCATTAGGTTGAGATTTGGAGAGCGGGCCAAGCCGTTGTTCAGAAATCGAGACTTCATCGTCTACCAACGCCATGAAACCATGGATGACGGCACCTTGGTATAAACAATCTCTCTATACTTATACCTATACCTACTTATTCTTCATCATAATAACTCACCAACCAAACAATCTCGCTATATTTTTTCGACAGATACGCCTACTTATACAGTTATACTTGAATTACTTTATCTCTACGTACATATCTTTCTTTATATATGTAACGATAAATTAATGAATATTTTATTTTCGGACAAGAGAATAAAGTTTGTGAAGTTAATTTGGTTAGGTAGTGGCAGTGGCTTCTCTACCAAAAGAGATAGCCTTAGGACTAAACCCAAAGCACAACAACTCAATACGAGGCCCATTACTGCAGTCTGGTTGGGTTGTAGAAAAACTCGACCATGATTCGTGCATGGTCACTTACATAGCTCAAGTAAGAACAAAATTCGAATCCTCCTTTATTTTTTATTTTGAGTTTTTAGAGCATAGTTTGAATCATATTTGTTTTTATTATTGTTTTTTTTTTCCGACAAAATTTCATATTAATACACCACCTTTCTTGTTTTTGAAATTTAATCACCACCTTTGAAATTTTACAAATTAATACACCACATTTACAATTTTTGCAAATCGATAAATGAATGACGGTTCCGTTACCAAAAATCTAACGAAAATCTGACATGGCATCAAGCCACGTCACCATGTCAGATCTACGTTAACGGAACCGTTATCCATGTAAATGGTAAATGTGGTGTATTAATTTACAAAATTTCAAAATTAGTGATTAAATTGCAAAAACATGAAAGTTGGTGTATTAATATGTAATTTTACCTTTTTTTTGGATCAAGTATTAAATATAATATTTTTTTTTATTAAATAATCATTCACATGTTTTTTTTTTTTTTTTTTTTTCAGTTGGATCCTGCAGGGTGGATGCCCAAATGCTTTGTGAATCGCTTGAATACGAAATTGGTTATGATAATTGAAAACCTTAAAAGGCAAGTGCTGGGATGTCCCACGAGTGGTGGTACACTATTATGATTCTTACTTTTGTGTAAAGCAAATCCAAAAGGAAGTAAAGAAATTGTCTATTGTTTAATCTTATATGAAATCTTTTAGAGGATCAATAATCAAATAAATATAATAGTCTATTCGTTATCTATTTTTTAATCTGGGATTAAGCGTAATCATAGGTTACAAACACTTTGGGATCCCCGGATTTATGCAATGGACTTGTGTTTTGTCTCTTGAAAATGTTGGTTACTTGGTAAAATTACACGGGAATCCTACGAACTGATATATATTTTTCAGTTCTAAAGATAGAAAATTATAATTGAACTGAAAATAAATTACAACTGAAAAACGGAAAGATTTTAGCTGAGGCGAGTAAAACTCTTTCCGCGAGAAGAATACGCCCCGTGTGGCAGCTAACGGTTCAGGCGTAACTTCCTCAAAGATACAACGACAAATGTTTCTAAATCTGTAGCACACCAGATTTACGAGTTCCGGCGAACTGGAACGGAGTCGAGAATTGAGCACTTAAAAATAAGGGAAATTTTCACGTGTGCCATGTGATTTGAACTTATTTACAATTCTACCATATCTATACTAATATTTGTGTCTTTACCTAAACTGGTATGTAAGCCGTGCGATGCACGGACTGTATTTACTTTGGAGAATATTAAAAATTAAAAATGCATTAATAAATAAATGAGTGATAATTCGTAGGAAAATTATCAAACCATAAAATGTTTCTCATGCAAAAAAATATATTATTTAAACTTTCTTGTACACAACATTATTTGTTTAATAACTGAGCAACTCGTCGTCCCCACAAACTAATATTTTCAACACTTTTCTATTATTTACACGCGAAACAAACAACATAATTGTCTGTGACTAAAAATCAATTTCTTTAACAACATGTCAACGTACAATAAATGTTGACATTGACTCTTCTTGATCTATTACTTAACATGCCAACGTACAATAAATATTGACCTTGACGGAACTCCATTTGTCACCAATCTGTTGCTAATCCAAATATTAAGTTGGAATGAATTTTCCATTGGAATTTCTGTTGGATTTTGACGATTCCAACGGTGGATTTTTCAATGGGGTAGAAATAAAAATTCCAACGGAATTTGCACTATTCAAATGGAAATTCCTACGATAAAAAAAACCATTGGAAATATAGCAGTTGAAAACATCAAATTTCTAAGATTGACACTCACTCTTGTTTATTGTCATGACAATATAAATGAATATTTATCTAAGTAACAAAATCTTTGAAATGTAGTGATTGTGTGTTATTTTTAATTTCGTGATTGATGGACTCTTTTATTAATTGGTTGGTTTGAATCAATATATAACAAATTTTGTTGCCAATCGTTATTAGAGTTTTTAAATTAATTTGTGTAAATGCATAAATAAGAAGAGACCTAAACTATGAAATTTTTTTCATCAAATGAAATCAAATAGATGACAAACACTATCTTTTAAAATAAATAATGATAATGATTATAACATTGTATCATCAAAACCGATAAGGTATATAAAACTCGTTTTCCTTTTCATATCGATAATGAAGAAAAAAAAGTCTAATTGGTGAAAAGAAGATATATACAAATCATGATTTTAGAAATCTCATATATACAAATCTTAGCATGCGGTTTCAAATAATTTCATATTTTAATAATAGGCTGAATGAATTATGATTCAGATTAATGCAAAGAAAACTTTGAACAGATTTCTAAAATCATGATATATACAAATCATGATTTTCCTTTGGAGATTTATTTGGATTTTCAAATTGTTTGGAAATCACGATTTCTAAAATCATGATTTATTCAGATTTACATTCGGATTTTCAAATTGTTTGGAAAAATAGAAGACTTATTCGAATTTTGATTTTTTATTGTTTACCAATATAAAAGTATTTGATGTTATTTATAAAAAAAAAGAAAAAAATCCGATTTACTATTTTTAGGAGATAATTAATGAAAGTGGCAGTAAATTATTTCAAAATTTGATTTATGTTAATCCTTATTATATAGGATTAACATATATGTTAACATATTTGTTAACATATAAGTAACATATATGTTACTTTCACGTAAATACTAATATATATATATATATATATATAAATTATTTCTAACAATTATTAGAAATATGATTGATTCTTAAAAAGTAACTTTAATTGAAAATTATTAATTAAATGTTTTATATTGTATTTTAAAAAATTTAAAAAATACGTATGGTAAGCGTATTTCTTAAATTAAATATATTAAGTATGGTAAGTGTATTTGTTAGATTTATTTTGATTTTGGAATCATATTTGTTATTGTCATCCTAAAAAAATTGGATAAAAAAGGTATGTTAATAAATAGAGATTTTGTAAATTTACTATTTTTAGACAATAACTAATGAAATTTGGCGGGAAATTATTTCTAAAAATGAATTATGTTAATCCTTATTATATATTAATATATCACTTTATTTATTTATATTAATGTCTAAATCAGTTACCTTATCATTTTAACCTCCATCCCCTTAAAACGCGCCACCCTTAAGTGTCGTGTATATTCCATTACAAATACAAATAAAAACATGTATTGTAATTCACGTAGGTGTCCAGGGGTGGGTATATGTTGCGTTTATGTTGGTATATATTCAGTATATGTTTAATATAAATACATAAAATTTACCATAAAAAATGTTGGTGTATGTGTTGTATATATTTCAATTATTATAGTAAATGCAAAACATAATGAGTCAAAATCTTTTTCACCCCATTATATATCTATTCTTTCTTTTACACACCACCCCGTCAAATAACTTCTTTTACACCCTAAAATTCACGAAATGCTATGCGATATTACACTCGCATGTCCAAATGAATCAGCGCATATCCAATCGGCCGCATAATTTATGACTATGCGTAAATATTTTGCATTTTTTTAATCGTATATCCACATCAAACGCATAATTTACAAATGGGCGAACATCTTTCGCATTTTTAATAATCGCATATACAAATCGAATGCAACATAATTTACGATGATTATGCGCTTTATTTTCCCAGGGCTATATCAACCTTCCAAATTTATGACTGCGAAAATATTTCGCATCTAATTCGCATAGTTTGTTGAATACGCATTTCTGGTAATTGCATATCCAAGTCAATTGCATAATTTACTAATATGCGAAAAAATTTCGCATATATCCTCCGGATAATTGACAATTATGTGACATTTTTTCGCTCGCATATTTAAGAATCGCATAACCAAATCGAATAAAGCATAATTTTTTTGACGATTATGCACCATTTTTCGTAGGGCCATATCGACCTGGCAATTTTACGACTATTCGAAATTCGTATGCAGATCTTTCGCATAAGTTGCGCACCTCATTAATTGACTGCTTTTTCACAGGTGAGGATTTGGTCTCTCCATTTATCATGCAGGCAAAAAACAGCGATCTCTAACAATTTAACGTCTGCACCATTCATCTACTGCATTTTTCGGTTTCTTTTTCATCTACTGCATTTTTCTGTTTCTTTTTTTTTAAGTTCTTTTTGTTGTTCACTTATTTGAATGGCTAGCAACCGTGTTAGAGTATTGGTGCACTTTGGTGGTTCGTTTTGCGAGGGTTCATATCTTGGTGGAGTGGCAGAGCTGATGAGAATAAATTACGACTGACAAATGTATTCTGAAGTAGTTTCTCGTGTTCAAGCCTTATTGAAGGCCAATCCTTGTAATTTTGAGTACATATTGTGGGCAGTATTTGATGGAAGGGAACGAGTTGTGAAGATGAAAATCGAATCCAGTGAGGTTATCTTAGAGCTGATTGAAGAACAAGAAAATCCCAACATTTACGTGGAGTTGGAGAAGCGAGTAAATGTAGGGACGGGGACGGCGCAACAAAGCTTCACGCAAATGATGACGTCCCTAGGTGTATTTCCGAGTTCTTTTGGAGTTGGTAGTTCTGCATTTTCCCACGAGACCCCATATTCACATCAAGCATGCCCTAGTTCATTTACACATAGTGGATATCCTCGGGGCGCTGATGATCAAACCTCGAGTTGTTCGAACCAACCAGGTCATTCTCGTGACGATGACAATAATGATGACCAAACCAACACGCACAATGGTTACTCAGGCGACGAAGACAAAGAGGTCAATGAGAAGCAAATGTTCGTAATCCAGGTACAATTGTCGAAATCGGAATTGGGTTGACCTGCACACATCACACATGTCCCATAATAATAATAATAATAATCGCACAATTGAGTTGATTGCGCGATTCGCATAACATGTCCCATAATAATCGCATAATTAGGTTGATTGTGCGATTCACATAACATGTAACATAATAATCGCACAATTAGGTTGATTGTGCGATTCGCATAACATGTCCCATAATAATCGCACAATTGGGTTGATTGTGCGATTCCCATATCATATCCCATAATAATCGCACAACTGGGATCATTCGCCTAGTCTTCAACCGCATAATTAACGAATCGTATATCCAAATTCGAAAGCTGCATAATTGACGACTATCCGTCATTTTTTCGCATATCCATATGGACCACATTGATTGATTGTCTGCACCGCATATCAAAATCGAAAGTGCTTCCTATATTATTCGCATACGTTACGCACTGCATTGATTGATTGTCTGCACCGCATATCCAAATCGAAAATGCTTCGCATATTGTTCGCATAAGTTACGCACCGTGTTGATTGATCGTCTGCTTTTACACCTAAAAAACAATGACGATTTACATGCTTCCTCATTTAGTTGTTGAGTTGATGTATATATACCTAGCCTTAAATTCTATATGTAT